TGCTGCTTTGACAATCGGCACTGTGTTTTCACATTCTCTTTTTTCTTCTGGATTTTTATTGTTTCAGAACAAAATATATGCATAGAAAGCAACATAGAATATTGTAATTATACGTCACATGCATATATCATCGCGTAAGGCTATGAGAACTGGCAAGAAGCAGTATCTACAATGTATTTCACTGCTATACCATTCACAAAGTTTAACAGTGGTGTTCACAAGATAAACATTTCTAGACTCCAGCCATGATAAGATTTCTCCATCTTCGTTGTTCCATCCCTATTCCTTCCGTATGCAAGAACAAATGTGTTTTTACATTCTAGTTGAGGCGTGATATTATTAAGTACATCTTACAAATTCTGTGCTTGGTTTTGCCACAGATCACCACTGCTGACGAGTTTTGGACATGGAGTGAGGAGATCCTCCTGCCTGTTTTGTACCCGTCGTTCTGGTACAATGGGTGGAAGATGAAGTACCTGGACCGACAGTTTCCACTTTATACTGAAGCATTCAGAATCGGTCCGCCACTCCTAAACTCAAGTCCAGGGAGGCACCAGGTGGGCATTTTGACATTCCTTGCCTATTTTCCTGGCTGTTTCATTGTTACAATAGATAATTTCTCTCTGATAAAAACCAATCAGCCCCAAGTGTTAAAGCGTTATTGCCTTCAATATCGACTATAGATTCAATGTTTTTATTACTGTACTATCCGCGTTGGATCAAGTGCAATAATGACCGAGAAAATTGTACATGAATCTATCAACTCTTTCTTGCCTCAGAAGTAGAAATGATTGGCTCTTTTACTTGAAAATATTCTATATAGGTTCAGTTCTATAGATGGCATTAAATTGTGATATATATGGTTCTGCGGGGAAGAGTTTAATGCCGCAGGTGTTAAAATATTTCGCATTTTGCACAGATGTCACGGCAGCAGAACTCTCTTACAATGGATGGATGGTTGCAACTGGCAGTGGTTCGTCTGCATGTTGGCAGTTTAATGTCACCGGCATAATGTCACAAAATTCAGGCTGCGCCTCCTCAAAATACTCCCTGGAACTTCCAACTCTCCTAGGTCCGGCAACAACACTATTCTCCGACCTTCGAGATAGCGAGTGGATCGACAAATACACAGACTATCTGGTTCTGGACCTGTCTCTATACTTCCCGGCCCAAAAACTGTTCAGTGTCCTGAGACTGACCGTACAACAGGAAGATATCGGCCATCTGTCTACATCTGCAACTGTGGAAACACACAGGCTGTTCCAGTATGAAAATGGCTCGGATGACGTCAAGTTGTTTTCCTATATCATCTTTTTGTCATTATTTGTGATTCATCTCGTCAAAGAAATGATCACCATGAAGAAGGAGGGAAGGATGTTCTTCAGGTCCATGTGGAACTTCTTAACCCTGGCGAGTATGATTGGATCTGCAGCTGCCATATGTGTCTTTGGGATAAGGTACCACTTAGCATCTGCAGCACTTTCAGAATTGGCCAATGCAACAGGTAAATTGTTGCTGAGTACTGCATTTTATGACAAGGTTTTCCATTACGTGAGACAGCTACCATTGAATCAGCACCAAGGACAGATAGTGACAAATATGTTGGAAAGCAGTAGTATTTCTTGGTAAATAAAACACTTGGTGACAGGCGTATAGTTTCTATTCTCGTCTGGTACGGTAATGAAAAAGACATTATTAAGTAAATTGTGCATCGTCACTTCCATCTTGCGTGTATTGCATCTAACAAATTATCAATGTTTCACCTTTGCCTTAACTTTGCAGGCGAACTTGGAATAGACCATCTTGTTGACTTAAGCACTACGTTCTGGTGGGATAATGTTTTCAAGCACGTACTGGCCATGGTTGTCTTCATCAACACACTCACGTTACTCCGAGTCGTCCGCTTCAGCAAGACCATCGCCAGGTTCATCGCCCTGCCGGGGGCCATGAAAAACGAGTTGATCGGCTTCTCAATTATCGGCACTATAGCCCTTATGGCTTTCAGCTGCTCAGGTAAGGGTTTCTGCCGCATTAATGAAGTCTAGAGATCTATATTTCATTGCCTGTGCATAGCAGTAGTCTTTGCCTAATTGAGTAAATTTGCCCATAGAATAACTTTGTCCCCCCTGGATCTTAACCACACCATACCTTAATTAAAATGGTCAGAAAACATCAAGGTATGATATTATGGTAATACCCAAAGTATGTACAGCATTTTCTAGGCCTCTTCTGAGAATCTCCGAGGAAGACTCTAAGATGGGTAAATGTTCTCTTTGGGATGCAAATGGTCTAGATCTCCCCTTGGCAATCTACAAATACCTTGAATTAATGACTTTTTAGTTCTGATGATATTTAGAGAGTTTAAAATGGTTGAAAAGGACGTTGATGAAGGTTGAAAATCGAAGGACTTTCTTTTCAAAACTATATCCAGTTGATTAAGCGGATTGAAAAGCCCCCTTGGATGTGTAATCTTTGTATGTTACGTTACGATTTTGCTATTATTGAAGTATTCAAAGTATGACAAATTGACGTTTAATTTTAACTACAGGGACACTGCTGTTTGGGACTCACATGAAGGCCTACACCAACGTGTTGCACACCAACTTCGCCTTATTTGAGATGGTGCTGGGCAGGTATGTGCACCTATTGCCTTTTACTAAATGACAGCTAGTTTTCAGTCACTCGTCTTGTTCTACAGGTCATTGTTTATCCAGGAACATAACGTTGTTGCATGAAAACAAAAATGTCAGTAGCATTTTAACTTAATTTTGGTGAAACCGTTTTCAGATTTATTGCTCAGGAAATCTTGGAATCAAACGAATACTTGGGTCCGGTGTACTTCACCGTTTTCATGATACTCATCTTTATACTACTCATCCACTTCCTGGTAACCATCATCTGTGATGCCATTGCTACCGGTGCCTACATTTCCGATGATTTTAACGAAGAGTTGGCTGACTATATTTGGAAAAGTTTCCAGGGAATATTCGGGGTTTATGTTCCTCCACCGAAAGATGTGACAACAGGTACATGATCTCGTCTGTGTTAATAGAAGTCATTATGAAACTAATTCTTAACTTTACACGCATGAATTTGTATTATCCCTAAATTTCAACTGTGTAAGTGCAAGTCTTTATCACTAGGAATGAGTGAATACAAATCTGTTGCTTGGGTCTCTAATTTGCATAGAGGCATCTGCCTCGTATGCAAGTTAAGGACACGTGACTTGCACATGATAACGATGACTTGAACAGTTGATTTGATCCATAGATTAAGTCACGTGATCTGAGTAGAGTAAGAGCGAAACAAGAAAAGAAACGGACACAGAGCACAAAAAAAGACGTCCGTACACAAAGACTTCAACTCAAAAACTTCATGTTTATTCTACGAATGTGATCGAACGTCGTCGATCTTAACGTATACGTACGGATCCTAACGTAGAAAACATTGCATTGGTAAATAAGCTTTTTTTAAATATTTGTTAGCTTTATAGTTATCGCAATTATGATTTTATCATTTACAGATGAAGTGAAAGAAACCGAGCTAAATAGAACCTTACAAATGGTTGAAGAATCTTTGAATGAAACCCTGGACGTTACAAACTGTCTTTGGGGACACAAAACAACGGATGAGTCCTCTTCAACCACACACGATCATGAAATCGCCCAACAGCAGTTCTCTATTGAGCCATTCCAACGACAGTCCGCTACTGAGCCATCCCAAGGTAAATGTGTATTAAAAGACTTGCCTTCAACTTCATCTGGTGTCAAGGAGCAAGTTGAGAATCTCCTGAAAGCTCACGAAAAAGACACGGCTAAGTATGAAGAAGCACAGAACGAAAACAAACGGCGTGCTGAGGCCATGCTGAGGGGAAAACTGTCCGAAAGACGGATGAAAACACAGAAGAAACCAGACAATGAGAGGCAGGCCATGGCCCAGTGTGCACAAGAGCTGATGGAACAACATGCTGCGGACGAGGACCGGTTGGAACAGCAACAAAGGAGGAACAGACGCCTGTCCCAGAGCAAACTTCGAAAGAAGATGGCACTTCGTGGCATGCAAAAAACAGATAATCTAAAATAGTAAGGTTTCATAGGCCTATGATATGCATTCTTACACCTACCAGGCACATCATTAGTGATTATACATCATAAGTCATAACATAAGACTAAACCTGTCATTTTTTTAAATAGCTAGCGGATGTTAAATATGGCACAGTAAGTTTAACATAGAAACAAACCCAATCATTAAATTGTAGCAATATTTGAAATATTGAGCGGCTAAATTGCTGAAAGCGGACCATTAATTGAGATACTATTTCTTACCAATACTATTCTGCCTGCAATTGATTTATTAATTATATATCAAGAACCGTGGCATCTATTTATCGGGATACTACCGTATCATTACTATTGTTGTTGAAGATTGGTACCGATTGCATGTCTGTTTGCTTCTTTAATCTCCAAGCAGATGTAAAGATCCGGTTCATTATGTGCATTTAATTCAAGGACGTTTTGCAACATTCAGGCCGCCTCTCTAGAAGTCCACATTTCTAAAGATTCTCCCTCTCATTTTTATTTTCCCCTTTGTAATGATAAAGAGTATACTAAATTTTCCAAAAGCATGCTTAAAACAATTAAAACAATGAGATTTAGCAAGATCCTTACATTTTCTTGGATATCATTTGCTTGTGGGCACATTGCATATACGTGTCTTGCATATTTCAGTTAATGATTGTATTTTTTGTATTTTAATATTAGCATTTACATTTTTTTACTTACATCACAATACATTAATCAATAGATTATTGTTATTAACCTGTTTCAGCAATTTACAACTGTTTGAATATTTAAAAAATAGAAAGACTGAATAAAGTGTTACAGTAATGATTTAAGAAAGAAAACGTTTTATCGACATCTGTGTGTAGTGGATTGAATTTGTAGGGGTGGGAGTGGGGATTTAAAACCTGCAATAGAGAACAAAATGTTCCACTATCTTTTCACATAGAGGTAAGGCCACACCAAGTAAATTTTATGGATGACGTCCACGCGCGCATTGATTTTGGCCTGTTCCTAGAAAAAAAACACAAGAAACTCCACTTCCTGTAACTATGACCAAAGAGTCACGACAGTGCCGCAAATCGTCAGATTGACTTGAAACCCATAAGGCGAAAACAGGACAGGAAGACAACTGCTGTTCCGCCTGATTTATTGCTGTTTTGATGATGAACAAAAGACTTCTTGCTTGTTACACTGTGTCACCTCATTCAATTTGTGTCCTAACATTTGCCATCTCTTAGTATATTTCTGATCTAGGCCTCTTGTTTTTTAGGGCCCTTCTTGTTTTTTTTCGCCCTCTCGCATTAGATTTAGGGTCTCCAAAGGACGTCATCCATAAAATTCACTCGGTGTGGCCTAAAATACAATTGCATAGTACATGTATTGATACTGTTATTTCTATTATATTAAGCTTGTAAGACCACATTGCCATTGGCACATTGACTACAATAATACTGACTACATGGTCTATGGTACTAGCTGTGTTGTCTTTGGTACTGACTGAATTGTCCATGGTACTGGTTACACATGGTAGAGGCTACATTTTCCTTGGTACCGACTACGCTGTTCATGGTAGTGGCTGTGAAAATAAGTTGTCTTGCTATTATACTAGCGTGTCTTTAAGAAGTCTCGGGGCAATGGATGAGGACCTTTCTCTCAACGCCATACCAATGGTCGTCAGAAACGACATCTTGAGTGAAAGTTTGGCAGAAAAGGTGTCACCAAACTTGAAGCAAGCTGACGAAGATGCTGAGAGTAACATCTCTGGTAAATGTGAGGAGAGTGAACACGGTGAGGACGATGAACAGCAGTCTATCAAAAACGATGCTGCTTTTGAGATCGAAACCAGACAGACAATCAGTCCTGGCGATTTTGATACATACGCCATTGC